AATTAATTAAAAACAGGCTTAAATAGTGACCCTACTGCCAAGTTATCTGTAATCTCAGCTAGGAGATAACACCTAATAAAAATGACAATCATAACATTAGCAGCAGTACGCTACCACTTAGAGAAGTGAGCACCTTGTTACATTTATTATCTTTATCCTTGTAATAAAAGTATAAGTCTACTATTAGTTCTCAGGTACCATTAGGTCTCCGAGCTGTTAAATCCTTGGTGAGTAAGCAAGCACAGGAGGGCCACCCAGCAGCCACGTGCTGGACTGGAATCCTATCGAGATCCTGATGGGAACTCACTCCAAACAAACAAAATACAGGAGACAATGGGGAAATTAATACTGACCTTGTATTTTCCTTTTAGATATGATAATGGCATTGTAGTTTGATAAGGGGGAAATTTCTTTTTTTTTTAGAGATAGATAAGTAAGTATTCAGGAATAAAATGATATGTCTGATACTGCCTTTAACATAATCCAGTTTGCACTGGGCATGTTGCCCACACCTGTAATCCCAGCTACTCAGCAGGCTGAGGTGGGAGGATTGCTTGAGGCCAGGAGTTGAGACCAGCCCAACCAACAAAGCAAGACCCCCACATCTCTAAAACTAAACTAAACTAAAGTAATCCAGTTCAGACAGCAGTGAGAAGCCATGGGTGGGGTCCACATGAATCAATCTGGCCATGGGTTAGTCACTTTTGAAGGGTTTTCTTTGGTTTGTTTTTTAGAGACAGGGTCTTCCTCTGTTGTGCAAACTGGAGGGCAGTGGTGCAATCATGGCTCACTGCAGCCTGGACTCCTGGGCCCAGGGGATCTTCCTGTCTCAGTGTCTGAAGTAGCTGAGACTACAGGCAAGTAGTTGGGACTGCAGGTGCGCACCACCATGCCCAGTTAATATTTTTTTTATTAGACAGAGTCTCACTGTCACCCAGGCAGGAGTGCATGGTGTAATCTTGGCTCACTGCAACCTCTGCCTCCCAGGTTCAAGCAATTTTCATGCCTCATCCTCTCAAGTAGCTGGGGTTACAGGCATGTGCCATCACGCCCGGCTCATTTTTGTATTTTTAGTAGAGACAGGGTTTTGCCATGTTGGCCAGGCTGGTCTCAAACTTCTGACCTCAAGTGATCCGCCTGCCTCAGCCTCCCAAAGTGCTGGGATTACAGGCATGAGTCACCATACCTGGCCATTGTTTTTCCATTTTTTGTAGAGGTAGGGTCTCACTATGTTGCCCAGGCTGTTCTCCAACTCCTGGCCTCAAGAGATTCTCCCCCTTTGACTTCCCAAAGTGCTGGTATTACAGGCATGAGTCATTGTGCCTGGCTGAAGTCAGGTGTTTTAAAGAATTATATACTAAATAGTACAAGAAAAACATTTCTTAAAAAAGGCAAAAAAGGCCAGGCGCAGTAACTCATGCTTGTAACCTCAGCACTTTGGGAGGCTGAGGTAAGTGGATCACCTGAGGTCAGGAGTTTGAGACCACCCCGGCCGATATAGTAAAACCTCCTCTCTACCAAAAAA